ATCCTAGTTTCCATTTTTTATATGACTCCTTTTTATTTTTTAGGAGTCATATAAAAAATGGAAACTAGGATGCATCTGAAGAAGTGAGGTTTTTTTTACCCAAGAAAGCGAATCCCTGAATAAATCAGTTAGTCTTTAAGGTGCCACCAGACTCCTCGTTGTTTTTGTGGATATAGAATAATATGGCTACCCCCTGATACTTGGCACCACTTTTTAATGTAATATTTTGGTCTCTAGCAAGAGTTATAACTCCATTTGAATATGTTGGTATTTTTGCTGGTTTTAGTTAGGTTTTATTATTGGTGATTTTGAACAGCATGTGCATACTGGCAACCGTACAGCTTTTTAAATTATTACTTTGTTTTTTCTCGATATTTCTCTGGGGAATTCAAGATGTGGGCAATGTGAAGGAATCAGCATTACTATGTCTCCGGTCTACAAAGTGAGCACTTGCCCCAGTGAAAGAGAGAGCAGACTCGGTGTCCCAGCTGTACTTCAGAACAATCCATGGCGGTACACATACACACCAGTTGTCGTATGACTACACATAGACCAGTTAGCCAATGAATGGTGCCAATAGTCAGTAGGGGGACCTGAGACACTGAAGCAGGTCCAACGTATTCCATCCAGTAGAGAGCAGTTATAACCGGTATATTAATCTTACTGCTCCTCACCTAGTGTGACAATACCACTCAGTCTGTCCCGCTGGATGGTATGCATGTTTGCTTCAGTTTATGACTGACGCATACATCTTAATGAGTGCTCCTGTCTCCACTTCAAATGGGAGAGGGAAGCGGTTTAAGAAACATATCTTTGCAAGGTCTTTATATGATCTTTATGACTCTTCCCCCCCCACCCCACACGCTGCCCCCTGGTTCCCAGCAATGTCTTCTCCAGTAGCGTCTGCTGAAGGTCCCAGACTCCCGACAGCAATGGAAAATACTGGGAGAAAGGGGGTGCTTAGACATCACCCCCCACCTCCAAAATGACTGGTGCTGTGAGCACATGGCATGAATGCAGTGGCGCAGTTGGTGTAAGGGCTTGTCTACACTACAAGTGCTTTGGCTGGCGTAGCTGTGCTGACGAAGTGGAGATGCAGCTTACGCTGACTCAGGGAGTTCTCTTGCCGCTAAAGGAGTTCCCTGGCCAGCACAGTTAAATCTCCTCCGCAAACAAGCTATGACAGCACAAGGGCTCCTTTGCTAGGATAACTGCATATACACACGGGCTTTTGCCAGCATCACTCGGTTGGTTTGGGGGAGGAGGGGATCTTTTCTTTCCATGTTCCAAGCTGACATAGCTTTGCCGTCAAAACTTTGTAGTGTAGACCACGCTTATACTTTTTAACCCTACTGGGGCTTTAAATGTTGGCATTAGGCTCTTGAGCATCAAGATTTTAATTGGCTTCCTTAAGACGCTCTCTATTCTTTGTGTTGAAGGGGGAACGTTGAACACTTTAAACATGAAAACAGCAACCATGTCTATCAAAACGTTGCTGATCGCATCCTCTCTTTGTGCAAGTAGAGTATCGGAGCAGTTCTGGCCCCCGAGTGCTGCGTCTGATCTGCCATGGGAGGCTGAATCTCCCATTGACAGACCCTAAATCATGTTTTTTAGCTTAAAAGTTTTTTTTTTCTTTTGGTTCCATCTAAGACTAGCTGACTATTAAAATCTTTCCAGTACCTAGACAGGAACTGTTTGTGTTGAGTAGATCTGACACTCAGTCTGCCTTGTCAGATACAACACCAGTAGGTGTGAGGCTTCCGAACCCCCTTCCCCCAGAAGGAAAAGGAGGATAATCGAACTTTCATTTATAAGAAACTTCAAGCCAGGATAACTTTCAGCTAGACTGAAAAAGAAGATGTTAAACCA